AACTTCTTCAGCAAGAATACGATCTCGAACATCATTGAATTTTAACTTCTGAGTACCCACAGAATTACTAACCGCAGCCCTCATAGGCTCCCAACTATTTGGCAGAGATGCAAGCAAAATCAGTGCTCGCACTTCATCATCAAACTCGATTTCAACAGATGACAGTTGGTTGACAATCGTATTGAACTCGTTCACATGTGTTGCAACAGGGCCAYCTTCTTCCATCTTCAGGTGGAAGAGTTTCTTCATGAGAAACACCTTATTATTGGCTGAAGGTTTCTCATACATRTCCGAGAGMACTTTCATCARCCCTTCTGTGGTCTTCTCTTTTGCAACGTTGTGAGCAACGTTTTTCGACAGTGTTAATCTGATAACATCCAGAACCTGCCTGTCAAGGAGATCCCAATCTTCTTGAGTCGTCTTCTCAGGCTTCTTGCTCAGTGGTTGGGGAAGCTTCTTTCCGTACAGATAATCTTCGATTTGCATTCTCCAAAATACATAATCTGTGCCGTCAAATTTCTCGATACTATGTGCCGAACCATATTCGCTTCCCATCGTTTCTGATTATTTTATGAACCACCATGTATAAGATCACCTCCGTCGACGAACCGATATCGTCGACAAGTTTTCCTATTCACGGATTCACTATTCACGTGAATATTAAACTCGCACCAAAAAATAACCCGAACGCTCTGATACCAATTGTTAAGAAAATAACCGGTCAAATCTGCGAATGATTGCGAAAACACACACTCGATTTGTTAACGGAGTTCGGCCAATTTGTGCCTACGTCTCCGGACCTACTACAGATCTTTTATTATCAACCGGGGAATATTATCCGTCGTGAACAGTAACTCCGACGTGAACAGTAACTCCGTCATGAACAGCTACTCCGACGTGAACAGTAACTCCGTCGTGAACAGTGACTCCGACGAAATTACAAAACTCTCAACTCACACATCCAAACTCAATTACACTCAAAGAGAATAACTCTCTTTCACAAAGAAAAATATTTTTCCTCTCACTTTTTTTTCTCTCTCACACTCACTTCTTCTTTGTTTTTGGTTTTGGGATGTTAGGATTATCTTGGGATGTTTGATTACGATGAAGAACTCATATATTTATAGCACATTGGAGGAGGAGTTGATGAAGTGTGAATGAGTGAGCCAAAATTGTTGAAACAAAATCAACCTCCATTTTTTACTCCTTTCACCAATCTCCCATTCTTGACTTGTGAAGCTTCCTTCACCAACCTCCTTTTTCACCACCGTCCATGACTAAC